AAAATGGTACAGGACTTTTTCGTTCATCTCGATCCGTTCTACCTTCTCAAAAATTTTGTCGGATATGGAAAGACTCACCCTGTATATGTAAACAGGGTGTTACGTAATACCCGTCTCACCTTTTATTTACGGATAGAGCGGATTAGATCGAGTCGAAAAGTCCTTTACTGTTTTGCAATTTTCGCAATAGTTAGCGAGTTATTAATTATTAAAATCGCTGTCTTAGCCCGGCCTACCGTGCAATTCAAGCTCGCGGTGAGACGCGGCCGTTTCGCGATCGGCGTTGCTAGGCGCGCGCGGCGAGATGCGGCCGTCCCGCGATCGGCGTTGCTATGCGCCCGCGCGGAAGACAGTGATTTTTAATAATAACTCGTTAACTATTGCGAAAATTGCAAAATGGTAGAGGACTTTTCGACCCAGTCCAGTCCGCTCTATCCGCAAATAAGAGGTGAGGCGGGTATTACATAACACCCTGTATATGCGTATATCGTGACCTGTGCCCAAATTTATTTAGCATTCCCTAAATTTATAACTGCAGAAATCTGCCTCGCGTGTCCGAACGGTTGCTTAAGCAGTTTAATGCTTTTCTATCCGAACTGTCACGGCTGCAACAATGTGGCCGAAATCAGCTTACGTTCGCCGCATAAACTCGCTGGACCACAGGATCGATTCTGTCAATTAATCAACCCGCCAGCTACGAGCGGTGATCTTAACCATGATCGATATCCTCTCGTGTTTCGTCCCTGCTTGACGCGCGCGAGATTGATTTTATTTCTCGGGCGCGTGATCCAATTTCGATGAATTCTCTGGCGAATGATGGCGCCCGCCGTTCGCCGACTGTCGGGAATCCCCCCCCCCCTCCCTCCACTCCGGAAGTAATTTTAAATTAAACACTCGCCGCACGCCGGTTTAATAAAGCTTAATGCGCAGACTGTGTTGACGGCAACAAGTGCAAATTGCGTTGCCGCGTATTGCTGCGGCGACGACACGACCTATCCCTCCGTTTGCCGTTGTAATAATTCTCGGGTCCTCTCGCGACTCCGCCTTTATCCGTCTTTGTCGCGCCACGAGTGGCTCCCAACCAGCATACGACTATGGGATTTTCATGTAGCTTCGAGCACACCCGGGACACCCGGGGGCGGGGGGGGGGGGACGGCACGTTTCATCGCCGTTGCAGTCGCCGGGCGTTGTCGTTTTCGTCTTCTTAACGGTAGACGCCCGCGGGGCACGCTTAACCGCCAGTGAAGCTACGATAAAATAGCGCATTTTGAACCTTCTTATTCCCTCCCTCGCATTTTGCGCTCCCCCCCCCTCTCTCTCTCTCTCTCGTTTTCCTCCTTCTCTTTTTTTCGCCCGCTTTGTTGCGCGCAAAGATGCCGAACCGCATGAGGAGGTTTAGGGCCGCGATAACGACGAGCAAAGTGGAGGCTTAAATGGACGTTGGAAGATACGCAAAGGATACGGTCCATCGGAAACCCGACGGGCGATGCCCGGCTTGAACCTCAGCCGAATCTCGAAGCGGGCCGGCGCGCGAGAGATATTTATTTCGCCACGAACGCGAACGTAGCTTTTAGGAGATTGCATTCTGTTTGTTGCCCGAATTTATTGACTTTGATCCTGGCTGCGGCATTTTTCCGCTTATCCTCAATGTCGGTGAGCATGCGAAAATGCATCAGCGTGTGACTGTGTAGGTCAGGGGAATAAAGCGTCGATGAAAAATTTCATGACGAAAAATTCCATAATACCTCGCATGCATTTATGT